TACCATCAAAGTCAAGCTTTAAAGTCCACAAGCCATATGTCAAAAGCTACACCCTATTTTCCTCAGTAAAATTTTCTACCTATCTTACCCTCAATTTGTCTCTCTTTGACTCAATCTACATCTATTCTTAGCCTTATTCATTTCTATCAAAATTAACCCAATCTTTTATACATTTTTTCATGAACATTGTTTGATTTTTGAACTTTATTTAGTTGTAATAGACTTGCAGCAAAATTTTGAACACCTCCTTTGCTTTCTCTTCGTCTTCCGCTTGTATTGCTTGCCTAGATATATGTGTATGCAATTTGTTTGATTGCTTTCCCTTTATTTTTCTAAAGAAAAAAAATTCTAGGATTTAAATCTCTAAGAATGAACATATTTAATCAATCAAACTGTGAGATTTAATTAAAATAAAATAAATTATATAGACTTAATTAAAAATTAAAAAAAAAGCTATAAGGATTTGCAATTTGCCTCTATAATTATTTATTAATGCTGCTACTTCCAACATGATATACTCTTGGTTCACGAGACAAACAAAATATTGAGACTAATAATTAATAAATTAAATAAATCAATACATATATTTCTTAAGCTTTTGTGTATTTATAAACTAGATCCAGTGATAATCAAATGTTTAATGACAACTTATATTATATTATAGATCATAGAAAAGATCTAAGTTATGGGCAAAGCTGCAAAGGTCTGGCTCATTTTTTTTCTTCTTGTTTTCTTTCTTTCTATTTTACGTGATCCTTTTTCTTGTTTTTAACAATACAATGAACATTATGAAAACATCAGACCAGCCTTGATCTAAAAAGGTAAAAAAAAACCTAAGAAATGGAGAGTCAAGGAAAAGCTAACACTATATAACAGGCAAAACCACTGTAATTTGCGCATTATATAACAAGGGCTGTGTTATAACCAGCATTTAGCAATGATTAGAGAAAACAAAATCGAAGGGGGCAATCAAGACAAAAACATAAAAGCAAGGGTAATATGTGGAAGGAGAATATCTATCTAAAAATATAAATTTTTAACTGAATATTACCTCAATAAAATAATTACTTATTTTTAAAATAACATTATCTTTTATATCTATCTCTATTTAGTAGAGTGTTTCACTCTAAACTTTATTCTTAGGGATACTTTTAGAAAAAAAAACACAATAATTATGTCTTAAAATATTGAAAAAGTTTTACATTTTTAAATGTCTAGCTTTTTAAAAAATACATTATATTTTTTAATAACAGGAGTAAGCCAGTTTGTATTTCAATTAGGTATAATTAATTATAAAATTAATTGATTAAATGTTTGATTTTAATTATAATTAATTATGTTACAATACAAATTATTTGGATACTGTTTTTCTAAAATTTATTTTTAATAAAATTGAAAATGTTTGAATAATTTAGTCAGAATTGATTTTAACTATATAAATTATCATAAAGGACATTACTTTTTAAAATTAAATTATTGATATACTTGTATCTAATATTATTAAATTTGTTAAATTTTTAAGAAGTAAAATATATTATTTAAATTATATAGCTGATTAACTATGAAAATTTAAATTATATTAATATTAACAATTTAATCTATGTAAATAAATAACTTAATATATATTAGTTTAAATAAATTTAATAAAAGAGAAAGATTTAATTCTAAAATACCAAACATCAAATTTACAATAACTAATAAAGATGATAATGTATAAATTAATCTCTAATAATATCATGAACATGATTCATATCTGATGAAGATGTTAAGTATTACCTTAAAATTTTGCAATATAAAAAATATAGTAATACAATGAATGACTCAAAATCTCTCTCTCTCAACCTTTGCAATAATATTTGTAATGACCATAAATTTTAAATTAAATTAAATTAAATTAAATTTTCTCTCCCAATTAATATTTTATTTGAATTAGTGTTATTGCAAGTGTTAAGTAGAGTGTGATGGTTGACAAGAATTTATACTAACAAGTTTTTTTAGGATTAAAGTTTGAATTTTACAACGAAAAAAAGAGAAGAAAAGAGAGTTTGGTTTAATTTTTATTAAATTTTGTGCTTTTTCTAAATTTTTTCTTAGGCCTTTTTTTTGTCATTCTCTCCAATGTTTTTTATCTTTTTCACATAAGCTTTATAAGAAAACATGCATTTTGGCTGATGAATTAATTTTTGGCTTTATTTGCTGTTTGGATAACTTGGTTTGAAAAATTGATTATGGGCTAATTAATCGATAATGGACCTTATCCAAACACACCCTAAGATTCAAGGAGTAAAAAAACAACGAGTGAATGTGGAGAGGCCGAACCGAATGACGAGTGGAGATTATTGTTTTCTAGGGTTGGCATGAGAGAGTAGAGAGTAGAGGCGGTCGATTGCAGCGACAATGGGAATATTAAGATGCTGTAGGGGTATGAAAACCTATGGGTCCATTTGGTGTGCTTGAATTGAGGATGATGGAAATGGAATTGATAGTAGAAATGAAATTTTGACTTGTTTGGTATGATGTAAATCAATTCAATGGGAAGTCATTCCTATAAAAAATGATAGAATTGATTTCCATCATAATATCTCAGTTTTGGAATTCCATGCTTTCTTTTTTATTTTTCACCCTTCCAATCTCGTCTACTTCCTATCACTTTTTCTTAGAAATCGTAGGTTATCTTCTCCCCCACAACTAATGAACATCTAAACACTGACAAGCTCCAGCAACCAGCACCGATGATGTCTATCTCTGAGATAGCGACAGCAACCTTTACCACTGTCTTGCCCTTTATCTTTGATTTAACAGCGACAGATAAGGTCACATTCCAGCTTGCTATCTACTCCCATTTTCTTTCATTGTTGGATGGGAAGATGCAAATTGCAAAGATAGTCCAAGATATTCTCTTTCTTTATGGCTGGAATAGGATCTTGGCCTTTAATTTTTTACCTCTTTGATTTTTCTTTCCAAATCTGTTGCTTTGTTTTTATTTTTTTTAAGTTTTGATGCTTACAAAGTCAATCTTGCATATATTCAAACTATTTTTTTTTTATGTTTAGCTTTGTCATTTCTTCCAAGGATATTGTTTTCCGAAGACGGTCCAAGGTTCCTTATTTTTCCAGTTTTATTTCATTTTTTATCTATTCTATTAGTGGTCTAGGTTTTTTCAAGTAATTTTTCAATAAGGATATTTTGATCTTTTCAATAAATATTATATCAGAATTCTATTTACAAATCAAACATGTTTTTAAACCTCATTTCCATTTCCATTTTAATATCAATCTCCATGTCCATTTTCATTTCCATCAAAATCAATTCCAACATACCAAACAAGGTATATGTAGGGTAGGCAAGAGAGGAATTATGATGCTTACAAAGATCTAAGATTGATTTCCTAATAAAAAAAATTATTCTCCCATTTCACAAAAAAAGCCATATCTAGGATTAAAAAAAAAAACTCAGGTTAACAAATAAAAAGTTACACTGTGTGAAAAAAAGAATTGAAATTTGTCTTAGTTTTCTTTTGGGTGCAATAATGTGAGGTTTTTGTTGTTAATTTTGATTAAGAGAATTGTAGAATGGTCTTCAAGAAATTCTTAAGTAAGCATAGCGCACCACATCATTCATGGTTCATTCAGTGAAAACATAACATTTAAATAATATTAAATATAAACTAATTTTGATATTAATAATAATAGAGAGAGAAAATATAAGAAATTAAATAAAATATTTTATTATAAAAATAAATTTTTTTAAAATAATGACACATAATATTTTATTGAGAAAATTAATCTTTTAGCCCTCCAACTTTTAAATCACTTGTATTTGTAACTCAATCCCTCAATTATGACTGGCCGTGACTCATTCCCTCAACTTTTGAATCACTTACAAATTAGTCCCTTAACCTTTGTTAATTTTTTTTTCATGTTAGCTTATATCTCACATTAATGAATAAGAAGAGGGTATTTTAAAATAATATATGAGTATTTTTTAATCCTTCTTTTTTGATAAATTTTTTTAAAAAAAATTTAAAAAAAGAACCGAATTATAGGTAAATCAAAAGTTGAGGGATTGAGTTACAGCGAGTTATAGTTAAGGAATTGAGTTGCAGCGAGTCATAGTTGTGGGACTAAATTACAAGTGAGTTAAAAGTTGAAGGACGAAAAGACTAATTTTTCCTATTTTATTTGATTGAATTAGAGCAATTTTATTGGTTGGATCACGAATGACTTCTCTTAGTCTCAAATAAGAATTGTTTTTTTAGTTTTATTTATAAGTCAAATTTCTATATTTACATATAATTAAAATTAAAAAATTATGGATAATTAATTTTTGGCCGAAGTATGCTCCCTCCGTTAAAAAATGTAATGATTTTTAACGAAATTTTAACCTCCAATAAAGTAGTTATCTACTCTCAAACTAACTCTATTTTTTCATATTTACCTCTATTAAACACCTTATAAAAATATAAAATTATTATTAATAGGGATTTTTGAAAAAAGATAATAATTACACCTTGAAAGACTAAAAATACCTTACATTTTTTAACAGAAATAGTACTTTTAGTTTTTTAACTTTACATGATATTTTATTTTAGTCTCTTAATTTTATAAAGAATTTTTTTAATCTGTTACCTCTAACGATGTTACTTCTATCCCAATAAAATTTTACATTAAATTTTTAAATATTGACAAAATATTATCAGATGTTTAAATTTTTTAAAATAACAATGATTAACATAAAAAATAATCATTGAAAGTAACGGTGTTAAGATTAAAGAATTAAAAAAATATTTTATAAAATTATATGATCAAATTAAAATTTTATATAAAGTTAGAGGATTAATAATATAACTTAGCCTTAATTTTTCATTTGAAATAGATATATAGTTCTCTCATTTAATTTACTTTTAAAAGTAAAAATCTTTTTGGGCCCAGTATAGGGCTAAAAATGGGGATTATGGGCCCAAATCGCTGCATCCGAACCACGCCCTCCGGGCCGACCGGTGTCTGGTGATCAAATCAAACTCCACTCCACCTCCGGAGCCGAGATCGCGAGATCGATCTCTGGAAAACGAAGCAAATGCAACAAAGTCAGCTGGCGACGGCAACTGTTAACTCAACATCCACCCCTGCTTCCGTCGGAAGCCCGTCGGAGGAGGCTCCGCCGAAGCAGGTGGCGCTAGCAATGGATAGGCTGGGCCAAGCTGCCCGAATCATCGCAGATATCAGAATTGGCGCCGACCGTCTTCTTGAAGCTCTTTTTATTGCCTCGCAGCCTCATCAAAGCACCAAGCCCTTGCAGTTGTTCATCAAAGAAGATGCTTCCATGCATCAACACTTACAAGACCTTCGTTCTCTTGGTATCCTGTTTTTACTATTTGGATACTAAGTTGTACTTAGGGATGACTTCTTTTGAGTACTGGTTTCTTGCTTCTAAGTTTAGGTTTTGTACTCTCAGCGTTGCTTGAACGTTGTCGCTCTTTATTGACATTTTTTTTGGCTTATTCATCTTTATGTAATTCTTATGTTGGTAGGAAGGCAGCTAGAAGAGTCTGGGGTTCTTAATGAATCGCTTCGATCGCGAAGTAACTCTTGGGGTCTGCATATGCCTTTGGTTTGTCCAGACGGCGCTGTAGTTGCATATGCTTGGAAACGACAGCTTGCAGGGCAAGCAGGGGCTTCTGCCGTCGACAGAACTAGGTTCGTTGCGTGGCAATCGGTTCTGCTTTTTTGCTGCCTGAATTTTAAAAATCCCTTTTAATACTCATTGGCGATTAACTGACAAACTGTGATAGTTAGTAGTAGTAATACGACTTGTAAACGAGGAGGAATTTAAATGATTTAATTGGACGTAGAAGTGTCGTGGGAGTACAATGCGGGAGACCTTTTGTATTCTTCTCAATAATCTTTTGCACAATTTAGGTGAACATATTCGATCTTCAATTTTTGTAATGGCCTTCATAATACTGTTGGAGACAGTTATACAAGCTTGCTCTGACTCAAGGGAGAAGGAAACCAGAACATTCGTCTCATGCTTAAACTGTGTAGAATACTATAAATTTAATGTTAATTTATAACAAGGCTATGTGTATTTTGTCCTATAAATGGTAACATTTGTCCCATTAAAGCTCATTTATATTAGATTTTAGTTCCAAAGTCTGGCATTGACAAAAATTAGATTATTGAACTTGTAAGAAAGTTGTTTGGCAACCTTTTCGTGCTCCTCTTTTGTCAAGGCAATTCATGTACAGGGCCTCTAGTGTTTCCAATTTATGCTACATTGATTGCTCACTTAGGCTTCTGAATGATTTCAGGTTGGCTCTCAAAGCCTTCACTGATCAGAAAAGGCGATTCTTCCCTCATCTTGATGATGGACTCCTAATTAATGAAACACCTTCAAAGAAACATTGTGGTTCTGAGGAAATCATGTTGGATTGTAAAGATGAAGTTAGTAATCTTAGTACATTAGCAGATGTTCTAAAACGTTTGGAAAAGGAAGTTCCAACTCTGGAAATTTTAACTTTTGAACGACTGGACTGGTTAAAAAGAGCTTCTTCACTATCCTCCTCACAAAATGAGAATTCTCTAGAACATAATTTCCATGGATCAAATAACCTAAGGCCAGGGTCATTTGGAGCTGGTGCTGCAGACAGAATTGCTGTGATAGAGTTGCTATTTCCATCTGTCTTTAGAGCTGTTGTGTCTTTACACCCTGCTGACTCCATAGATCCTGATGCAGTAGCTTTCTTTTCTCCAGATGAGGTGCACTTGATAATATTATTATGAAATTTGACCTTGTCACTTTTTTCTTGGAGAATTTTTTTATGTGTACGAGATGTTTGTTCAATTATTTTGCATGATTTGACTATGAGATGAATTGGTCAACCCCTATTGATGGTCTGCTATATTTGGAAAATGTGTAATTCTCCACTGCTGAAGCCATAGTTGTAGGGAAAGGAATCAACAGGCTGCTATTCTTTTATGGCAGCTAAGTTTTGAAGTTGCTCTTCTGCATATCCGCACTTACTTTTTTGATGACTGTATTTTAAATCTTAAAGAAGAGGCTAGAAAGCCACAGAAGTAAGACGCCTAGCCTCTGCCTCGCTTTGGATATTTTCATACCTCTGTTGAAAGGTAACCAGGCTAGAATAAACTCAATATCAAATTCATTCGTTACGAGTCTTCATATTCAGACTAAGACCTTGGTTGCCTATATGCGCTTCTCCTGAGTTCTTAAACTCTTAATTTCTGAGATGGTTTTCATGATAATTTACATGGTTTATGTGGACTTATGGTCCTCCATTGCAGTTATGATAGTTATTTCTTGAGTCCAAACAAGCAAAAAAAAAAAAAAAAAAAACTTCATTTGTTCATCCACTTGTCATGCATCTGGCTTATTAGATACTCTATAATAAATATGTAGGTGTGGTTTTAGCTCTGAACCTTTCTGTCTTTATTGGTTTTCAATTAAATTTCCTTTCGGTATCTAAGTGACATGAAAGTCACATCCATATATTCTGACATCCTATGTTACTTGATCCCTTGCTCCATTATATTTAACTGTTTATAATCTTCAACAGGGTGGAAGCTATGTGCATGCAAGGGGTTATTCAGTTCATCATGTTTATAGACATATCACGGTAATAGATTTTGTTGCTAACTTCATAATTTTACATTTCTAATGCAGTCTTTCTGATTATGGCTTTTCTTGGTTCTGTCCTAGGAATATGCGGCTACAGCTCTACAATATTTCCTAGGAAACCAAGCTGAAACATCTCTGTATTGTTTATTGGTACTGAAACTATCTTTTTCAAAGTTTCCAGCATTACCGTAATGCTTGTTTTGGTCAGGTCAGTAGCTGTTCCTATGTATACAGGGTTTTCTCACCTTTCTGGTTCTCTTTTGTAGCACTGGATTTGCAGCTACCAGACCCTTTTTACAAGGTCTTGCAGGTTTGTATATTTCAAATCCTTTGGATTTCTATATCGGTTATCAGAATTATGAATCTCACTTTGCTGCTTCTGCAGTAAGTGTTCTTTGCTACTTGCTATGGATAAACAGTCTGCTTTACTGTTACCTCCTGTCCACCGTCCCTACTGGCAGTTTTCTTTCTCAAAACTGTTGTCAACCATCACCTCAAAAGACCAAAACACAGATATTACTCAGGCTTATCACGTTGGCTGCTTCTCTGCAGAAACGTAACTTCATCTGCCAGTGATATTGGTAAGCCCAGTGCCACAGTAGATTTAAAACTTCAAGGCACTAGTTTGGATTCTTTAGAATGTTCATTTGCTTGTGTTAGAGATGTCATTTCCCCTCTTCCATGTATCCAGAAGGTAAGCAGAAAGGAACTTCGCTTATGTTTGTGTTTGTATGTGTGTGTGTGTGCGTGTCTTAATTTGGCTAGAACGTTGCTAACCTTGCAAGATCATCAGAGGGGCAGCATCTCCTCTCTTCAGATTATTTCTGTAGACATTATTCTCTTGTCAATGGGAAGTTTGAAACTCATGCTCCTTCTTACAGGTTATCCACACAGAAAACCTAAAGCATAAAATCAGAGGGATAAGGAGCTTCTTGGTTGCTTCATAGAAAATACCAACCAAATGATATTTAAAAGTTCTGTCAATGAAAAAAGATTATTATGATAAAAATAACAGTATTTTTAATCTTAGAATCGTGATATCTAATTATTTCTTATACTCATAATTGGCACGATGGTAAAATAGCTTCATCAAAATTTGACAGGAAGAGTTTCAGGTAGATGGAGTCTCTTCTATAATCATAGAGTTGTAAATGCAAGAGTTATCTAGGTAATTTCACTTCTGTCCTTGGAGCCCCTTGACATTGTGTCATCCTCATCTAAATTAGATCTTTTCTATTCATCATATAAAAAGAGCTCAAAGAGAGTGTGAACCAAGGGAATGCAATTTTGTTTGGGATCCGTATCTCATCATTGGACACATACACTTCCACACACACACACACACACACACACAGAGACTACATTCATTCCTAAGATACCCAGAAGCATTTTCAGTAGTGTCACATATTCTCATTCTACTTTATCAAACTAAATCATACATCTGGCATCTTAAAATTTCACCCGACATAAGAAACATAAATATCACATTACCTTATGTTATGCCTTAATGTCCTATACTATGGTGCCCAATATATTAAAAAATTTAGAACCAGAAAATATAATAAAGGTGAGACCAGAGTATCTAACAACTCCCTTATGTTAGAGTTTTATTTTTATTTAATCGAATGTTTGTCTTAATGCATTTCAGGTTGTAGTAGTGACTCATTGGATTGAAGTTGTGTTCCTGATAGTTGCAGGAAGATTTGAATAGAAATGTTGCTCGGAAGAAGGCTTGCCATTGCTTTAAAGCCGTAGCATCTCTTCCTGGGCTTCTCTTCCGCTAACAATGATGCATGTATGTAGTTTCCCAATTTCAGTGCGATAGTTGAGTTAATTCTAGGTGTGGAAAGAAAAGATTTAGTAGTGTTGTGGAAATTCTTGTTCATGGTCTCCATATTTTTTTGTTCCTCTTGGATTTTTGTGGAAATACTTGTATTTTTGCTCAAATACTCGCTTTGGTATATGTACCTGTTTTAACTGATCAATTGATGTCTTCATGTTCAACATAGGGAAGGGTTGCACCTACTAGCGTCACGCAAAGGTGGTGGTTTCTGACCCCCCCCCCCTGTTGTCTTTTTCGGCCTAATCGTGTCCAACATGCACAGCAGATCCCGTTTTCTTTTTCCTTTTTTTCTCTCTCTCTTGGGACCTATTAGCGGATTTTAATGAATAAGCCCAAATTAGTGATACTAGTAAAACAGGTCTACGAACGAGTAAGCAACGGTTATGTCCGAATGTCGAAGAGAAACGAAATGAGCAGTACAACTATCTGTAGTCTTGAACTACTTACGGAGTCTTCGCAAAGATGTCTGTTGTCCAAGATATGAACTGTCTAAGTCATCTTTCTGTTTTAGAGATCTACCTAGTCTCTTGAATCTCTTCTATGCCAATACTGAAAAAGGTCCATAGATGTATTTTTTTCGTATGATATCAAGCGTCAGCCATGAAGATCATTACACATGAAAATGTGGCGTACTAACGAATCTGTATGTGCTTGTGGATATGCATTAGATTGAAGGGAGTACTTGAAACCGAATAAACTTAATCTGTGTGGAAGAATGGAGAGAAAATGGAGCAAATACGACTATTTTTATTTATGTAATATTACTATGCTTTTGTGAAAATGTGATATTTTTTTTTTTCATGTTCTACGAAGAAATCACCCTAGTGAGCGGGAAATAGGTTAACCATCGCATCTGAGTTGCATCTGAAATTTGCATCGGAAACGAATGAGATATGGCAAATACATGCTGATTGATAACAGTCATTGTGAAAATGTGTGTTTGCGATGGGCAATATAATTATCTGAGTTTTGACACAGGCATGACCATCCCTGGGATGCCATGGGAGATTAGTCAGTAATCAGGAATGGAATCAGAACGTCGCTGGCTGCTTTCAATTGGGGGGTCTACTCTTTTAACTCCCGAACAACTTCCTGCCCACAATGTGCCACTCCAAGCAGATGGGGTTAATAATGGGTCAAATCGTTGTCAACTTGACAATGAACCAGGATTCCATTTCCCTAGGCACTTCATTTCTTGTGGTACCCCCATAGAACGGGAATTCAAATCAGTCGGTGGAGAATGGCATTTACTGTACTTCTCCACCTTTTTTCTTTTCCACGGTGAATTTTTTGAGTCCCACATTCTTAAAGGACAAATTTCTCTCTTTTTTATTTTTTTCTGATAAAAAAGTAAAATCATTTTTAGCATTTTTTTGTGGATCCCTTTCTTTAATGTGACACTTTTCTTTCATTTATTTTTTAAAAGAAAAACAAAATAATAAATTACATTTAACATTTTAATATGAATGATAGATAAAATCACAAAATAGAAGAAATCGTTACTTAAATTGTACGAAGATTTATGTAGGTTTCATAATTCATATCTTTACAACTCATCACAAAATTTATATTATATTCAATCATTTGATATTATCCAATTTGTTCAATATAAACACAATTCGTGTTTTTTTATTTTAATTTCCAGGAACGCCGCTAAACTCTTAAGCGACTCCCCTTCAACTTCTAGTTTTAGTACATATAAGAGAGAAGAATTCAAGTCAAGATATAAAATGCATTTTAGTTTTAAAATTTGAAACTGATGTAATTATGAAGTCGTTCCTTTTTTACGATTTTATAACGTCTTGCATCGAGTATCCATTCGTTCTGATTTTGCCCGTCTTGTCTTGATAACCTTTCAAACCCAGACTAACCTTACTCTATCTCGTGCTAAACCAAATCAATTAGCAAGGTGAGGCATTTGTAGGGGTCAGAAAAACAGCATGCATTGTTTTCCAAATCATCAAATGTTTAATGAATGAAAGTACGGAAACCAGCAAACAAGATATCAAGTTTTGTTTGCGTCATCAATCTTACTGGATGAGGCACCATAATACTCAAGTTTTCACAGACAACCCATTCAGCTACACATGGCAAGAGAATTTCCAATCAAAAAGAAATGAGAATTTCCATCTTACACCAGCCAATTCATATGACAAAGGCACACTGAACGTTAATGAATGAACAAATGGCAAACACTCGTTGATTATGGCTGGCTATCTACAAGCATTAACACTTGAGAGTCTCGTAGTTCAACACGCATAGCATACACGAGAGATTTCTAAAGCATAAGAAATCTAATGCTGATATCGACCAATAAAACAGTGGGTACTAAACAGTTGACGCAGTGCATTTTTAGGCACAAATCAGAGCATGCTATCTACAGCTACGTGCTAGAGAGTAAAGACCAAGAGAAGAAGAAGAAGAAGAAGAAGAAGAAGAAACAAACCGCTTGATTTAGCGACCATCAGCAGAAGTAAAAGAATCTGCAAATCCAGTTGGCCTTGCGGGGATACTACCCTTACTGTCTTCCAAGTCCATGTAACTCAAGTCCTTTCCTTCTGCCTCTTGCCAACCCTTCACCATCTGATTAAGGGGAAGGCTATAATCAATTCCGGAATACTCCTCAGTGTCATCATCAAAGGGTTTCCATTTTTCAACGAGTGGAGCTAGAACATTCACAGCATGGCCCATATCTGGTCGTTGACTTGGTTCTCTTGCAGTGCAGTGACCAGCTAGCTCGGCAATGACAGCAATACTCTCAAAAGTTTCTTCTATTTTGTCAAGGGATGGATCAATAGCAGCCATAAGTTTCTCCTTATCAGATTTTATATGCCAAAACCATGCTGGCAAGTATTGGCTTTCCTCAGGCCTATCCTCATCAAGTGCCATCAGTCCAGTCAATAACTCCATTAGCACAACTCCAAAACTAAAGACATCTGCTTTGGTTGTGATTTTTCCTGTCACTGAAACATTTCGAAAGGTGAAAGCAGAATTAGTAAAATATTTATATGTACCTAGTAAATCATGTCTATATAGCTTGATGCAAGGGGTGAACTTTTTTTTGAATAAAAAGAATTGCACAGATTATATAGGTCATTCCTGAAAGGCCAATGTTAGTAAATATACGTATCTCAACCTTCAAGATTAATCAAACTGAGCAAAAATGTTTATAGGAACTTAATGACTGATTTCATGATTAAATTCTCAAAGAGCAACCTAACCATATTTTTCTCATAGCTAATCCATGTATAATGATATGAAACACATTCTAGATGATGGTTGAAGTATATTGAGGTTTAATTCGATCAAATTCTGCTACCTTTATTGACAACGTTAAATCCAATTCAATTTCAAGACCATTTGAACAGAAAATGCATCCACTGGCTATAAATTATTCTAGACTGCTCCACTAAGAAATATGCGCCTTACAGAAACAAATAGAACTTTAGAATCCATGTAATGCTTTAGGAAATAAGTATATGTAATTTTAACAGCTTGTGAATTACCTGCATATTCTGGGGCTAAGTAGCCAAAGGTCCCCGCAAGCTGAGTCACTACAGATTTTTCACCATCAGGAGCAAGTTTAACCAGTCCAAAATCTGAGACTTTGGCTCTAAAATCATCCCCAAGCAAAATATTAGAGGGCTTAAGATCTCTGTGAATGAAGCTCTGATGAGCCAGACTATGGAGATACTCCATTCCTCTAGCAACATCCAATGCAATATTGAGCCTCCTTTTCCAAGAAAGTGGCTCCAACTTAAGGCTCTTCCATTGAAAAAGATGTTTGCTGAGAGCCCCTTGGGACATGTACTCATAAACTAGAATTCTTTCATTACCTTCAATAGAGTAACCCAGGAGAGACACTAGATGACGATGTCTAACTTTTGATAGAACTGCAATTTCAGACTGAAATTCATCCAGCGCTTTGTTACTAATTATACCAGCTTCCATTCTTTTCACTGCTATTTTAGTCCCATCATCCAATTCTCCCTTATATACGACACCAAATCCACCACGACCAAGCTCATTCTCTGGAGCAAAATTCTTAGTCACATTTCGAAGAACTTGAACTGATATCACAAGATTTCCAGCCTCAATGACATGAGACTCCCCAGTACCACTGCTGTTTCTACTTTCTGACCCACTCCCTGTTAATGTGGACATGCTTCCATAAGTATTGTTAGCTACAGCAATCTTTACCATATTGTCTGGGTCAGATGGATCTCGAGGGTGGATTACTAGTGAACTCGGAGCAGGTGAGCCATCTTTTCTCCTCTTGTAACAATATATCAGGGGAATGAGCAGAAAAGCTGCTGCCGCAACACCTGCAACAGGAGCTACAATTGCAACCAAAATTTTCCTGCTGGACTTTTGTGATCCAGGAGTATTATTGGAGTTGGTACTTGTGTGAGTTGATGGGGATGGAGTATCAATTGAAGGAACAGAATTTCCAGAAGATGAGCTGTTCCCAGATGAAGGGGCCACTGGGTTCCCATTCAATAAAGAGTTCCCATTAGTGACAAGTTTCAACTTCTTGTTAAAATGAGGCAATGGCGGGGAAATGTTATTGTCACTGAGATCCAACAGCGTCAGGGAACTCAAGCTAGTCCAATTACCGGGTATTTGACCACCCAGATTGTTTCCCTCCAATCTGATCTCAACAAGAGAACCTAAGTTTGCAAGTGAGGGGCTCAGAGTACCATTCACTTTAAAGTTGGGCAAATTAATCATAGACACCTTTCCAGAGGCATCGCATTTTAGTCCCAACCATGGACCTTTACATGGGTCATTACCAGACCATGATTCAACTAGATTTGATGGATAATTCAACCCATCCAGAAAGTCCAGGAGTGCCATGACTTCAAAGGCACAAGGAACCCCTGGTTTGGGTTGACAAAAATAATTATAATCGTATATAACTTTGCCTGCTGCGAAATTTGGGATCGGTCCCATTAGGTGGTTGTTGTTCAAGTTAAGACTGTCCAGTTCCATTTTACCCAAAGCATCTGGGATTAGACCAACAAGCTGGTTAACATTGAGATCGAGATCCTTGAGAGAAGTTAAATCCCCAATATTCTTAGGAATCTTCCCCGTGAAGTGATTTCCATGAAGCCAGAGACTCGTAAGCGAAGTCATGGTTGCCACCACATCAATAGAACCAGTCAGACCGCCACCCTGCTGATCGTTCAACCACAGAACCTGCAAAATCGAGTGATTTAAAGTCGACGGAATTTCACCGGTTAAATTGTTGCGTGAAAGTTTCAGGATAGACAGAGAGGACAAATTCCCCAGAAAAGTCGGCAATGGACCGGCCAAGTTGCAGCTCATACAGGAAAGATTGGTTAACTGAGATGAATCTTGCAACTGAGAGGGGAATTGCCATCCAGTACTGGCATTAAAATTATTATCATCCAATGCCAGAGCTTCCAGACTCTCAAGCCCGTCAAAGAAATCAGCGGGAATGGAATCGAAGTCATTGTAGTCCAAGTATGCATATTTCAAATTGGATAACCCACGGAAAGACGGCAGTGGCCCGTTGAGCTTGTTGTTCTGAAGGCCAACGTTCTCTAGCATGGAGAGCTGGTTGAAATTCTGAGGCAGAGGACCACTCAAGTTCAAGTTTTTAGCCTGAATCTGGGAAACCCTGTTTCCCTTGCAGAAGATGTACTTCCAAGGAGGACTCCCACACGGGTCTCCACCATCTTCAGGCCACGGCAGAAGCTCCGGGTTGTCCAAGCCCTTCCTGAACTGGTTGAGAATCTTAACGTCATTTGGGTCAGTGGCACCAAAACCCACTGCAGCAAGCGAGAGAAGGAGTGCTGAAACAAGCTTCAAAAGACGCTCGTCCATGGCGGGAGCTGCGCGGTTCATCTAAAACACTGACTCCTAAGTGATTGACGGAATGCTTCCTCTTCATTCAACCATGCCATACGAAGAAATCTGGCAAAGGAATACAGGAGGAAATCGCAGTTCAGATGCGAATTGAGGGAAACAATTTAGAATCCCTGAAATAGAAATGTAGACCGGAATCAACTTTTTTTTTTTGGGAATAGAAGACTACAATGTCTAGTTTGTTCTTCTGAGACTAGGAAGCTCAGGTCCGCTTATCCGCATCATCCACATTCTCGATTCCCTTGTCCAGTTCGCCCAGAATCACGCGGTTCATCTTATCAGTGACTGCTGAAGTACCCCGTTGCATCCACATTGTCAAACGCTCCTTTGTTTTATTTCACCGCTTGTCCCCTGGCCCTTGAGACCCTGTTTGGTATTAAGTATTTAATTTTGTGGTATTGAAAATAGAAATAAGATTGGGATTGATAGTAGGAATAAATTTTAAAATCATGTTTGATATGTCATGGGATTAAAAAAAATAAGATTGGGATTAAAAAAAACTAGTAAAAAAACTTAAATACCCACTTGCCATTTCACCCTCTCAATTGATCACCTGAACTCATTGTCTTTATCTCATCCTCTCAGTCAGTGTCACAACTTCTCACAAAAGAAGATTCATCACATAAGTTTGAGAAGCGAGGACGACGCTGGGAGAATGGAGTTGACCAAGGCTGTCGATGGAGGAGAAGGAAGGTAGAGGCTGGAGATCGTCGAAACAGGAGAAGGAAGCTGGAGGGTCGGAGGTCGTCGAAGCAGGAGAAGGAAGATGGAGGGTTGGAGTCGCGATGGAGGAGAAGGAAGATGGAGGGCCAGAGTCATCGACAGAGGAGAAGGAAGATGGAGGTCAAGGGTCGTCAAAGCAAGAGAAGGAGGAGATCGTCGAGGTAAGAGAAGGAGGAGATCATCGAAGCAGGAGAAGGAAGATGGAGGGCTGGAGTTGTCGACGGAGGAGAAGTTTGGTAGCCATCGACAGAAGAGAAGGAAGGTGGAGGTTGAGATTCGTGGACTGAGGAGAAAATCTGCGTGTTTTCACAGGGATATTTTAGTCAAAAAAATTTCAACCCCAGTTCCAGTACCGGGGGGTGGTGGGTTTGAGTATTCTCACCAAGTGGTACTAAGCAGTCCTAAGGATTATGAAATACTTCATACCAAACATGTTCAAAGTGATATTACCCAAATCCAATCCCAATCCATACCCCCTGACGTCACATACCAAACAGAGCTTAAGAGACATGCTGTGCTGCTTTGTTCTACAAATCATGACCGCCAGAAATATAAACATATGGCTGTGACATATATTAAAAAAAAAGAAGAAGGTAAAACTAATCTAATAATTTAGTAAATTATTTTGCACTACTGTATTCAGTCCATACTTTTTCAGGTTCTACGGTGCTTGGGCTGATGATGACATCTGTACCATCAAAAAAAAAAAAATATTATAAAATTTTATATATTTAAAAAAAATTATCAAAATTTTAATAAATTATTTATTTTAACCTAATTTAGATTTAATTTAAATAATTCAATTTAATATTAAATTTGAACTATACAAAATACATCTGAATAATTAATATATAATAATTATAAAAACTTTAATAGTATTATTTGGATCCTTCAAATTAAATTTAAACCAAATTAAAACTAAAAAATTATTAAAATTATTTTATTTTTCAAAATTTTTATTTTAATAAATATAATATTATATTAAAATTTAAATAGTTTAAATTTTATTACACTGATAGTGCCTAAGTCAAATTTTATTTTTTCTAAGTCATAACAATCTAAGGCTTGTTTGGTTTTTTTTTTCATTTTTTGTTTTCAAAATTTGTTTTATAATACAATTTCTAAAATTATTTTTCACAACAAAATAAAATAAAAATTCATTTAATTATATTAATTAAAAAATAATTTTAGAATTAAAAATGAACTAATAATAATGATTATAAATAGTTAATAGTAATAATTAATAATAAAAATTAGTCAAGATAATTATAATTTTTAATAATCAAACGTGGTGTATTTTAAAAATAAAAAAAATTAGATGAAAACAACTTGAAATTATTTTTATTTTTAAAAAAAAAAAATAAAAAATGAAAATAGTTTAAAAAATAATTAAATGAAAAATATTTATGTAAATGAATTTTTAAATTTTTTATTTTTAAAAATTAAAAATAGAAAATAAGCAAACCTTCAATTTCGTTTTCGCGTGGAGTTTTGGAGCACACCGCAGATAGATTACTTTGCCCAGTAAAAGCCGGAAGCGTTGCCTCTTCTATTGCGATTCTCGTTGCCAGCCCAACGCAACATTATCATATTCATTTTTATAATTTTGGCGCTTCTTTTTTCCCATCAATTCGTACATTTCATTAAATTTTGAATACAGCAACAATAATAATATTTTTTATTTAAACAAATTCTTGCCCCAGTGCTTTTTACGACATTAACTATCTGATCTAGTCATCTGGTACTGTTCATAAAAATTGTAATGCAATGCAGAATAATGCAATGTATTGTTTACTTAAATGTTGTTTGCAATAGTGTATCGTGCTATTAGCTGAGAAATTGAGCATGAAATCACTCCAGTAAATTATTGTAATGATCAAGATACATTAGAATGGTTGTTGAGTTAGTATATTGTTTTAATTAGCGCTACTATCATGATGGGGAAACATACAAATAAAAGAAAAAATCACATTTAGGGATTTACTGGGGATTTATTTGCAAGAAATATTTATAATGAGTTTCATTCAAAAAAAAATGAGTTTACATTTTCATGTTAACAATAATTTATTTTATATTGATCATTTTTTTTTTGTCAGAATAAAACTTCTTAGAAGGGATGATATGCAGTGAATAATTTCGGACTTGAGGGATTGCTCGTTCACAAGACATGTAAGAACAAAGTTTTGCTTTTGTAGGATCTTGGAATTAATTAAACAATAATCGGTGTTTTCCGTTTTAACGTATCTGGGTCTAACCAGCTTCGAAGGTTCTTTGTTGCGTGTAATTAAGTAGCATATATAACACCACACCTATAATTCAAAATTTTGGGTTAAAAAATTGTGACGCACCAACACACACTTCACATGCACGACATAATTAGGCGCTTTCAAATCTCTACACACTTCATTCATCATCATCCATATAGTACCAAGATTATCATTTTATTCTTCTAAATAATTTGGGCTATTCAAGTGATCATGGCCACATGGTCACGTGCAATCTTCAGGTGGTGAACAACCAAGCATGCATTTGTCCAAACCCCAATTATTCACATGCATATGCACATGCGTGATTGCTAATGCTGTGATTGTTTGCCGGAGAAATAAGTTAGCCTATTATTTCAAATTGGAAGAACATGTCCATAGATCCTTATAGTTTCACTTATTTTTGAATTAGGCCCTATAACTTATTTTTTTAATTGAACCCTTACAGTTTAATCAATTAAAATTTATTAAAAAAATTATAATAAAAATATAAACAGTGGATAAATTAAATTTTATTTTTGATTTTGGCTAAAGTATGAATTAAATTTCTTCAAGCTCCAAAAGTATTTTTTAAAAAAATTAATAATTCATTATTTAATTTTAACCTTCAGGGTTAATATATATATATATAAGATGAACTGTAGGATTTGATTAAAATAAAATAAATTTATAAAGACCTAATTTAAAATTAAGTAAAACTTTAAGGACCTGCAAGTATAATTTTCCTTCAAATTTAAACCAATATTTATAGCATGCCTCCAAAATTTCATTTCCATACAAATATCGGTTCACTGTTTTTGTTACCATGGGGGTGTACACCCAGGCAACTTCTTGTCTGCTAGGCAATATTCGATTTGTATTGCAATAATTCCTTTTTGCTGAATTATATAAGTACAACTCAAAAACACGCCAGATTATCTGTTTGATGAAAAATAAAAAATATACTTGCCTTTAAATTAAAAAAATTAAATAAAAATATTTGACCCTAAAAGTCAAAACACAGAAAGTGGATGATTATAAATGACTTTAATTTCTCCTCATATATTGAAATCCAGCTCAATTTGGTCGATGGAGCAATATCTTGACTGGTTAAATGAAATCATTTGTTCATAATTGGTCTAATTACAATTCAACTGCAATTTTAGTATCAACATTTAAATTAATGTCTTAAACCTATGGTAAAAAAATTAATGTTTTAGCTGGTTCAATAAAGAAATGATTTTCAGCCATGAAATGAATATTGTATCCAACTATTTAGACTTTTGAATTCATTTAATATTTTTTTTTTACTACATAATGGGCTATACTTGACTCTTTGATCCTTATATTTGACGGTTGTTTAAGCAAACCATCAAATATAAGAGGCAGATGAGGTGTGAACCATCAAATATATAAATTTGAAAGTTAAAAGTTTGACAGTTTTTTAAGCGAATCGTTAAACTTAAGAAAATATTTTTTTTCTAAAAAAATATATATTTACCTTATTTGACTGTTGCACTTCAGAACCATCAAACTTAGAGGAACATATTTGACTGTTCAAGCGGCCAACCATTAAGTGTGTGAATTTTTTTTTTTAAAAAAAACTCTAGACCTGTTCATTTTCTTCACGTTGTTGTTGAATGCTGTTCTCATCCAACGCTCCCTTCCATGTCTCCACCCCATTTCAGCGAGCTTTCCTCCACATTTTTGGCCTTTCCTCTTTCATTATCATACATTTGCATTTCAAAAAACCCACGCCATCGTCAAACTCTCTCGTTCTTACATTCTCTGGCCTCTCCAATTTTAAAGTCATAGGGTGCTCATTTTAGTTTTGAATCCGAAAATTTTATTTGGGTATAGCTATTGCTCGTGCATTGAGAGCATTGTGGGTGTTTGTGCTTAAGTTTTGCTAGTAATTCTACCTAAATTGCTTAAGATTTACTTATTGTTGATAATTTGGATTTTGTATTGTTGGAATTTCATTTTTTTAAAAAAAAATATGTAGTGAAAATTGAATTTTTGATGTTGGTGTTGTATTTTTTTTGGCTGAATTTGATTTTGTGCAGCTTGAATATTTTTGTTAAATTCTAGCTAAAATTGTGTGCCTAGAACATGGATTTACTAGCATTTTATTCTACCTATGTGATTTTTTGGTTTGGAATTTTCTACTATTGATTGCTGTAATGTAAAAAGATTTGGATTGATATATGTTAAGGCTATTGTATTGTGAATTTTGTTGTTGTTGTGGCTAAGTAGAGTTAAATTAGCTTAGATTAAATTGTACATAGATAAAATTTAATGTAGCGTGAGACAAAATTCTTGGGAAAAGTCTCATTTTCAATTCATTAATTTGCCAG